AACGCTTTAAAATTGCCTGTAAACTGGCATAATAAACATATATATATATATAGAGAGAGAGTAGTATTGCTGACTCATTGGCGACGTTGTTCAATATTTTTGCCAGTACCCTATAGGGACAGGGTGATTTAGGTTGATTTGGCCCTGACAGCTCTTTTAGAACAAGGGCCTTGCGAACTGAACAGTCTCGATTCTGTAAGCGTCTTCAGAGTCACCTATAGGGTAGTAACATCCCGGTTCCTTCGTCGAAACCGACTGGAAAAATTCTGAAATATGATGAGCTTTCGGTTCACCTTCAGTATCCTTTAAATCCTCGGCGGTTCCCAGTAGTGGTATCAGATAATGTTTTCGCATAATCTGCTTAAGGCGACCGTTAAAGCTTTTTGAGTCCCGTGGCACGATTAAACAGATTGAATTCAAAGTCTTGTCTTGTTTTGAGGACAAGGCGCTTGTCCCGAATTCTTTGAATTTTGTATGCACTCAGAGCTGCGGGGTTCCCCCGCGCTTAAACGATTTTTTCCGCATCCTCCACTTTTTGGTTTACTTCTATTTTTAATGCCTGTGTAAATCATTAAATTCTGTTATTCAAACTTTTCCTAGAAAGTGGATAGTGTTTTACGCTGAGTCTGTGTAATTTGTCCCGGAACGTTTCCTCGTCCTCGTTTATGCTTCTAAAAATGGATGCTCCTTCATTGTCTGTGAGTGCAGCCTTCATTCCATTGCAGTTTCCGCACAAAAATGTCTTCTGACTACTGTGGAATTCTAAGGTATTGAGAAAATCTAATACGCGCATAGCAGGATGATATATACACTTCTACCTAGTGAAGGTAGATATGACACTTCATTAATGTTCTCCTACGATACCGTGACGTCGAGGTCCAGGCAACTGGCCGCTTTATCTTCGCGTACCCTAGTTGGAAACGTGACAGGCTGTGTGAGAAATAAATTGAGCGTCATGTCCATAAGGCAACTGTCAAAATCCAGTTCAGAGCCATGCGCGTGGTTCGAGATTCAGTCCATGTAATGTGCCTTAAAATCATCAATTGCCACGATATTTGACCGTGTTGAAATCTTTTCTATCCTCTCTGGCAAACAAGCATCAGTCACGGTATACCTTCTCGGCGGCCGGTGAAGTGTCAAGACATCTAGACTTGGTACACCTGATATTTTAATGGATAGCCAGATCGCCTCGAAAGTACCAGCAGAATACAAACCGCAACTTATGAACGCCTTTAAACAAGGTACTACGTAGAAGCGGCATCACTGCACTTGCGATCATGAACTCACAGATTAAAAGATGTATAATATTGATAAAAATATAGATTTGCTTTCCAAAATAACATATTTATTGACATGAAGATTAGAAGAGATTAGCTAACTGTTAAAAGGTACAAACAACTCTGGGACTCTCTATATGACGAAGGCATTAGGTCAACATCTTATCGTCTACGTTCGAGCCACGCTTCTCCATTTCCGCAACAGCCTCCCGAAGATCGTCATCATCTAGGAGGCAAATGAAGGTTGCTAGGTCGTGCAGGAAAGACAGCCGGAATTTGTAGATCATACCATCTCGAGAAAAATTTCTGTGCGTTGAGACCGTGGGCAATTTCATTTGGTCCTCCACTGGCGGTGCTCCAGCCAAACCCAACCGCTGCCACAGGCTTGGTTTGCGGATGCGCTCTGCCAGGGGATCCTGAAACATGCTCATTCTGCTGAGCAGACGACTGCGTCTCGTATCGGCTTCGAGGGACCCATCCGCACCAGCTTCACCTTCAGCATTTTTCGCCTTCTCACCACCACCGTCAGGTGGTCGTCCAGACTTCAGCGTCCGCGTTTTCATTTCATTATTTATGATATCTAGGTTCCGCAGCACATT